CGTCTTGTTTGACACAAAACTGGCATACAGATTCTCAACAAAGCTCTGTCACTGTCTGTCTCTCTCTCTCTCTCTCTCTCTGTTCAATCTCATTTGCTTGCTCCTTTATCCTACAAGGTACAAGGTGCTAATTAAGCTTGTTCAATTCACCTGTTTCTCTGCATCTCCCTTCAATTCTAGTTTACACTGACTTGTACCTGTTGACCCGTCAGGCACAGTAAGCCCTTTTTCAAGCCCTTCACTCGGCCCGCTTCGCCGCTTTTTCCTTCCAAAACAGCGAGCTTTGCGCCGACATCGGACATCACGTCGACACCTGAGGCCCATCCGTTCCGACGGTTTCGACTGTTTCAACAGCTGTCGTGTCCAACGTGCTTCGGTCCATCGGTCGACCCACCGTGCTTCGTTCGTCGACGGTGCTCGCCTCTGGCGACCGCAGGGCACAGACCGGTCCCCGACCGGGCGCGAGCCGCGCTTGGCCTGGACAGGTGAAAGCGACGGGGGTTTGGACGGAATCGGGACGTACAAAGGACGGGAGCATGTTTCTCGTCTCAAGAGTGAATGACCAGTTGCGACACCAAACCTCACCAAAAACCACACCCACGTCCTTTTCAGTTTGTTTGACCAACTGCTCTTCGCCGAAAAAAGACAACGAGTCGTCGATCCATGAAACCGAGCAGGACCTGGCCTGAAACTCGAAGGCAAAAGGTTTCAAAAGCATTCGGTTGAGCATTTGGTTTAGACCCGCTGATGGAGCATGTTTCTCCTTTCAGCAAGCCTTTCGGAAGTTTTCAAGTCTTCAAGGTGCACCCAGATCTATTATACTACTGACTAGTAACTTAGGACTTGTCGGACATACACGCCAATTCCAAAAGCCTATGTCATCAGGATTGATCCAACATTGGCATTTCCTCTTAAGGCCTATGTCATCAGGGCACAACCATGATATTCATAGAAATATGTATGAGGGTGCCAGGCAGTGGTATCTAGCAATATTTAGCTGTTTTTTTACATTTGTCGAGGAGGTGTCCACAGGTCCTATGACACCAGGTTTCCCAACCCAAACATTTTTTTTGCTCGATATGTCAGGGCACATGACTTAGCCCTGGGGGTAGCCAGATTGGTATGTCACTTGCATCACGTTGGCCTAAGTCATTAAACAGTAGTATATTTATCTTCAAGGTGTTATGACCAATAATGCACACAACGTTCTGCAGTTCTGCGGAATCACGACAACTTTTGTTCTTACTATCTGTTCAAGAAGTGCATGTCTTGGGAAGAACTGGAGCTACATTTGGCTCAAGCCTACAAGGTCAAGTCCTTCTCTATGTAGGCCTCATCCAAAACTAAGAGTGGCTCACACATCGCTTGGGATTCGGGTGCTCATCCGTTCGGGTGCTCAAGGCAAAAGTAAGCAAATGGCACCAACGCCGACTGTTGGACATGTCTTTTTTTGGCAGGTCAAAGTGGAATGAGCCTTGCACGGAATCCATGTCGAGGGTGAAAACGTGGAGTTCTCCACAGGCGTGACGAATGGATTGCTTCTGCTTTACGAGGCATTTTCCACTTCCAAACACGCGTAACGAAAGAGCTGGCCCTACGCATAGCTACTTGGACCTTGCCACACTGGGCTACATCGCTCGTTTCACAGAATGCCAAACTGAGGCTTCATCTGCACATGCCCTTGTCATTGGGAAGCCCTTTTTGCATGTACATCAAGCCACATGCGTAGCTCAAAAGCCCAAACCCTTTGACCCCTGGAACGACCAAACGGCCGAACGACAGGCGCGGTCGTTGGTCGGAGCTTCAGCCGAAGCGCTTTGGGTTGGACCTCAACGGCTGAAGCTGCGCCTGCGCACGACCTCCATACGGCACGTCATGACCACGGCCACCCGTGCGGCCACCGCTGCGGTACGGCCAACGGAGGGCGCATCACTCAGACACCGAGGTCGGAACCCAACATGAAGTACTTGGCATGGCACTCGACGCGGCACTCGAGTGCGGCACACCCTCCGAGGCCGTAAGGAACTGGCACGTGCCCGCAAGTGGAGCTTGGCATGTGCAGCTCTTCGTGCTCGTCCTGAAGCTGCGGCTTGTGATGAAACGAGAATTGGTGCAAAACATGGGCTGGTGGCATTGAATGTGCTTAAGCTGCAGGATGTTTTAAGACTTAGGACGGACGGCTGTCTGCCCTGCCGGACACAAAGAAAGACCATTTCATCTGCCTCACCGGTCTCACCGGTCTACGAGAGCCTTTGCCACTGCCCTTCAGCCTGACCCGGCACGTGCCGGGCGCGACGCCGGGACGGCGCTTTTTCCGCCGGAAGGGCTCAGCTACGGTCGGCTCGTGGCGAGCTGAAGATGGCTCCGAGGTTTTGAAACAGCCGACCGATGGAGACAGGTCGTCCTCCGGTTCAAGAGGGTGGAGATGGTGGAGATGGGGTCGACTCTCACCAAGATCGACTCTGCCAGGCTCGGTGTTTTCAGCGGACCGGTCTTTTTCAGAAACGAGATGTGAGGAGTCCAATTCAAAGCGACCGCTTTTTTTTCGACACTTCTAAGTCCGCAAAGAGCAGTACGGGCAACTCCTCTGTGTCCTAGTTGACAAGCTCCTGCTGATGAAAGGCTTCTTCCTTTCATATGATGGACACTTTACAGCGACTCTGGGTTCCAAGCGCCGATGACGCATGGAAAACTCACTCCGCTTCAACAAGTGTGTTGCACACATGACGACCACAAGTCCCGGAACCGGCCAGCTTGGATGCAACACTTCACTGCGTCAAAGAACTTCGACGTCAATGCTTCAATCAGGTGGAGCCTTCATTGGGGTGCCGGGCTCTGACCAATGCCGGCTCAGCCGAGTAGTCTGACTATGCACAGTCCGTGACGGAGACGAACGCGGGACACGGCTTGGGTGCGCCCGGACCAGCCGTTCGGCGGCCGAAGAACTGGGCCTTTTGGGATGACTGAAGTGCGAAGAACGCCTTTGGAAGTCCAGCGCTTCGAGGGCGGAGCGGCACCAAACCCTTTGACGTTCAACGACACTAAACCTCACGTCCGACGACGACCGCGCAGCACGTGGCAGAGCGCGTGGTCGTCGGGCTCACACAGGAGTCTAAGCACGGCGCTTGGCGACAGCATGTTCCAACATCGAGCCGGAGATAAAAAGATGCACTAAACAAGACCTAAGCAGGTGTCGCAAACAGCAGGAGTCTAAGACAGAGCGTCAGAGCAGTGCTGCTCTCCTCCCTCTGCTCCCTTCTTCCGGCTATAGATCGATATAACGCTTCTTCCTTCACACCGAGACACTGATTCTGGTGAAATTCTAAGGTCCAACCATGTCAAACCTCTGAGGACCACCTTCAACCTCGCCCCCCACCTCACGCGGGGCGGGGCGCCCGGCCATGCCCTTTCAACCATGCCGTGGCGTGGCGCTTGGAGCCCGAAGGACCAGCCCAGCTGGTTTGGGAGGTGCTCGCACAACAGCAGTCAGCGAGTCGAACTCACACCACACGCACAGCCTGTGGTCAGCCGGCAGCGACTTCGCTCAGCAGAGTTAGCCGGACTGGGACTTGAGTGGAAAAGCCACCACGACCGACCAGGGACCGAGCAACCAGCAGGACCGACAGGGCCGGTCGTGGCGTCCAAAACGACCGCACCATCCTGCCCCAAAAGGTCCGGGTGCGAAG